GCCGGGGGGAGACCCTGCAGCCTGAATAAGGTGACAATTCCCGACTGCTACTCGATTCTGCGGCGGAGGAAATCTTCGACCGGCTGGCACGAGGCTGGATGGTCTCGACCCTGGACCTGCGGCAAGGCTTTAACCAGATCAGGATCAAAGAGCAAGACTGTTGCAAGTCTGTGTTCCATGGAGTGGACGGGCTGTACGAATAGATGTACATGCCCTTTGGGCTGCAGAACGCCTCCGCTGTATTCCAACAGATTATGGATGGAGTGCTGGTGGGGATCGAGAATGCTGCTTGCTACATAGACGACGTTGTAGTCTTCAGCGGCAGTGCCGAGGAGTACATGAGGGACGTGGGAAAAGTACTGACGGCGATCGAAGAGGCGGGTCTCACATGCCATCCTGGCAAGTGTAGGTTCGGGAGCCGGACAGTGCAGTACCTCGGCATCGAGGTGGCTGGGGGCAGGATGGCGATTCAGTAAGCGAAAGTGGCCATCCTCGACAAGTTAGCAGCCCCGAAATACAAGAGCACACTCCGGACAATACTGGGGTTCCTGAATTACTACCGAAAGTTTGTGGCGAACTTCAGCAAGAGGGCAGGGCCGCTAAACCGGCTACTCAGAGAGGACAGAGCATGGGAGTGGGGAGACCAAGAAGTAGCAGCACTGAAGGATCTGCTGGAAGCTGTGAAGAACGGGCCGGTGCTGGAATTACCTAAGAAGAAGGGACCCTTCATTCTGTGCACTGACTGGAGCAGCGCCAGCATGGGGGCGGTCCTGAGTCAGAATGGAGAGGCAGGAGAGCATGTAGTGGCATTTGCAAGCCGCAGCTGCAACCCCACAGAGGCTAATTACAGTTCCTATGAAGGCGAAGCCCTAGCGGCGGTATTGGCAGTACACCACTTTCGGGTGTACCTGCAAGGGAGACCGTTCACTCCGGTGACTGACCACAAGCCACTGACATGGCTGGTGACCAATCAGACCATGTCCGCGCGAAACGCGCGCTGGGCCATGCGGCTTCAGGAGTACGAGTTCACGATATAGCACCGGTCAGCATGCGGATGGATTGTCAAGGAGTCCGTCCCCGGCTGAAGTGGTGGCTTGCCTAGTGGTGTTGGCTCGAGAAATGGAGAAGGTGGGGGCAGCACGCGGAGACAGAGGGCCAGGCAATGTGTGGGGTGATGAGGATGCGCTGGGCTGGATAAAGGGGGAGACGGGAGAGGATGAAGTGGTGAGTGAGCGAGCGCAGAACAGGGGGGAACACTATCGGTGGTACGAAGAGCAGCTACAAGTGCGTACGTATGAGGGGTGGAAACTGGTACCTAGACCGGCAGAGCGAGAAGAGTTGGTGTCATGGGTGCACAAGAAGCTAGGGCATTATGGGCATGAGAGGACATGGCACCTCGTGGCAGGCCAGTACTGGTGGGCCAGGATGCGCAAGCAAGTGAAGGAGATAGTGAGGGCATGCGCGGAGTGTAGCCAAAACAAGGCCAATCCGGAGCAGGCACGGAAGGAGTTGCAGACTTTGCCCATTGTGAATGTGTGCTTTAGGTGGTCACTGGACATGGCCAATGAGCAAGAAGGGGAAGAAGTATATCTTAGTGATGATGGAGCACGTTACCAAGTGGGTGGAAGTGCATGCCATCCGGAGTAAGAGCTCGGCCCTAATAGCAGAGGCGTTCACTGATCAAGTGCTGGCCCGGTTCGAGGCATGTGGAGAAGTGCTGACAGACCAAGGGACCGAGTTCCTGGGGGCGTTCGACCAACTACTCCAGCACGTGGGAACAGTGCACCGGAGGACCTCCAAGTATCACCCTCAGAGTGATGGGTTAACATAACGTATGGTTCAGACGCTGAAACGTGGACTCCGCGCGTATGGTGAGGCACAGACGCGAAGCTGGGATGAAGAGCTGCAGTGGGTAGCCGCCGGATATCGCTTCACAAAGCAAGCCGCACTGAAGGACATGTCCCCGTATTGGCTACTGTTTGGCAAGGAGCTGATCTTGCCAGTGGACACTCCTAAGCTACTGACAGATGTGGTGACCGCAGGAGACGAAGAGAAGTGGGCAGCACTGGCAGCGGCACGAGCCAGGTATCTGAAAGAGATGTTGCCCACAGTAATGGGCAACTCACAGAAGCGCACTGGGCAGAGGCAGAGCGTGGACGGAGCTTGAAGGAAGAGAGTGTTATGAGACAGGGGTGAGGGGTTTTCCAGACAGGTTCGGTGGTTCTCCGACAGGGACCTAGCCCGAGGTGCGGGAAATAAACTTTTGGTACACGACGGGCGGAAGCGTGAGATGCGGAAAATCTAACCTAGCACTATACAGCACCATGTTAGAATAGTGCGAAAAGATTGTGACTAGCAGAGGGGAGGGGAGATACAAGTAGAGTGTTATCCCCTCTAAGAGCTGACACAGCTATACTTTATATAACAAACATATTTACTCTAACTAGATATGTATACAGTGACGGAAAATTTTGTCAGGATGTTTAGCATGTTTTTGCATTTTGATGAGCTGACCTTTGTAAACATTAAGCCTTAATCTATGGTGGCCATACTTGTTGAGAAGAGCAGTTAGACACTCAAGCAAGTCTCCTAAAACCAAAGTAGTATAGTACATGGTCCTTCAACAATATCCTGACAATTTTTACCGAAGACAGGAAACAAACTAGAAACTAGCAAAACTAGTACCTAGTCCAGCGTCCCTTTGCGCGAATCACCGCCTTGATCCTCCTAAGCATACTGTCGATGAGGTTTGAGCACACTTCCTGAGGAATCTTGTCCCATTCCTTCTGCACCCTCTCCCACAGCTCCAACATTTCTGTGGGAGGCTTTTCGTACTTCGCCATCTCCCTTTTCAAGTGGTCCCACAAGTGTTATATCGGGTTAAGGTCCAGAGAGGACGAGGGCCATTCCAGCACCGCATACTCTTGCTCCCCAAGCCAGTCTTGCACCAGACGTGACTTGTGCTTGGGATCATTGTCATGCTAGAATATGACCTCTGAGGGGGGGAGCTTGTAGAACTCGATGGTCTGAGAGAGTTCGTCTTGCAAGGTGCTACGATACAGCGGCCCATCCATCCTTCCATCGATCTTGCACATGAACCCCACCCCCTCATACGTCATGCAGCCCCACACCATCACAGAGCCGACCCCATGCTTAACTGTCTGCTGGATCTGGTGGCTCCGAAGACTGCTGCTCTCGCGAATCCAGGCGTACGCACGTCCGTCACAGCAGAAACGATTAATCTTCGTTTCATCGGACCAAATCAAGCGCTTCCAGTCTTCCATCGTCCAGTCGGCATGTGACCTCGCAAAATCTAGCCGATCTCTGATGTTTTTCGTAGAGAGCCTGGGCTTCTTGGGCTGCTGCATTGCGTCTAGCCCAGCGGATCGTAACGAGTTCCTAACTGGCCTCGAGTCTACAGCCAGATCATGCTTCTCCTCTAACATCTTCGCGGCGTCTACACCGGTTTTTGCCTCCCCGCTGGTAATCGCACGAACTATTCCATGCTGAAGGCGAGTTGTGATTAAGTGTGGGCGACCGGCCGTGGGCATCGTGGGTCGCACCTCATCGCGACTAGTCTCGGCAATCACCTTCAGCCTGTAATCATGCATGGTACTTTTGCCTATGCCAAGCTCCTTGGCTATTTTCCTAGTCTACTGCCCCTTGCGCAACATGCTTAAGATACGCGCTCGCTTCTTCTCATCTACCGGCTTCATCGTGATGCAGTAGTAAGTTCGCTTCCGGCCTTACTCCTAAACTAACGGCTATTGCGAGAAACAGTGTGTACTCTAAGTGGCGAGTGAAAGTAGATCTAGACTGTCGCTCGGTATGAACTATCCGGATCGACTGTCGATGCGTAAATCTCATCCCCGCAAATTGGATGAGTGACAATCGCGCCAACCTTTTTACGGTGGAAACACAACACTACGACCTTGTAACAGGCCGAGAAAAAATTGGTGTTACAATATTCGAAACATGTCTGGCATAGCGATATGTTACTATCGCCAAACATCCGGGCAATTGTTTCCGCCACTGTATATAACAATATGTGTATGTTGACAATTATCGATTAATATTACCAGGGCCGTGGATATGCAGTAAGCACAAGGCGTCAACCTTCTTAAGTGTTGGTATTGTAGCACAACCAGAGCGCAATGCTGAAAATCATTGTCTCCGATGGCCATGTATACTGAAGCGCAAAGAGCTTGTATCGAATAGTTGAATAGTGAGGAAACAATACAATGAGGCAACATCAAAACAACCGGGAGTCTAGATATAGCTAGTCCTCGAACACACGGACGAGGCTCGGCAGAGCTGAGGCGTGTGGTTTGTAAATTGGCGCGAAGCGCCGAGATGTAGGCATGAAACCCCAAGGCGGGCAGAATGCATGCGGCTCGTCAGGAGACCACATTTGGGTGCCGCGATTTGAATGTCGTGGTAGAGCTGTGCGGCAACACCGTTATAGCAGTGTACACCTTACTAATTATGACTCGGGATACGGAAATACCATTTTTTATACATGCCCATACACCATATTTATACTGTATATACACCAATCTGATAATGACAAGACATTGCAGTAGTGCTGCTTAATGGTAAGGGTGCCTGGAGAAAATCAACCGCTTTGACGGAAATCGAGGATGGTTCAAAACGGTAGACCCATTTTGTGAGTGATGCATGGTATTCCCCCGTTACTCAAAACGGTCGACCGCCCCTACTGTACCTGTTTTCGTTTTGATGTGACGAGGCCACTACATGTTTTCTAGGCAACTGGTTTGGACCGCATGTGCAGGGTCCGGAAAGGAGGATTACGACAAACAACGACGACACATTTATGGACTGGTTTGGACCGCACAATCATTTCGTGCACGTCGTGACAATAAGTGCCCACGTTTTTCGTTTTAGGGGGGTTGTACACCTTAGCATTCCGTAATTACTGGTCTCTCGAATCTCGCGAGACCAGTAGAGCGACAACTTAAGGTTTTGCGTTTTCCCGCCAGCCAAAGTCAGATGTGCCATGCACCACTTTTTACTCTCTCTCTCTCTCTCTCTCTCTCTCTCTCTCTCTCTCTCTCTCTCTCTCTCTCTCTCTCTCTCTCTCTCTCTCTCTCTCTCTCTCTCTCTCTCTTTTACGAAGCAACCTCTTGCAATCGATCAAAGAAGTTTTTTTTTTCAACGTAATTTTCTAATCTAAAAAAACTAGATATAAATTTTTGTAATTCCGTAAGAAACGTAATATACACCTCACAGGTATATCACAGAATACACCATAGGTGTAATATCATAGCTGATTTTTTGGTAGACAAATCTATGGACCTTATTTATTTATATAACTATGTTTTTTTGTGTTTTCTTTGTTTTTCTGGATAACAAAAACGAGCTATCCCCACCCCAGTGCTAGTAGGAAAAGGGTGTATTGTGATCTACCAACCTAAAGATTGAAAATATGTGCACGTATTTTCAATTGACCCCCAAATTACAAACCAAGGAACTAATAGAAAACAAATGTTGATCATTTGTTTCCCATCTTTTCTTGTCTTTTTTATTGCTATCGAAAAATAGGACTTCTATCTATTACTTCCCCAATGCTAGCACGGGCGGGAAGTAAAAAAACTAGAGACTAAACAACACAGTTTGTGAATTCC